TCAGTATATGCCCGGCATAACCTGGCATGCTTAAGAAAAAACTTTCGTTAAAATTCAATCAGATAAAAATTAACTCGGTGCTGGGGGGTTATTTTGTGTCTAAAAATTCTCTCAAAATGAATTGCGTTGCAGTTCATCTAGTCACGGTGAGTACTCACGAATACCATGGCGCGCAACAATTCGTCTAGTTACCACTAGATGTCACTAGCCAAATTGCGCTGCTGTTTGTCTAGTCACCGCTAGGATTCTACATCCATCGGGTTGTATTGGTTTATTATCAATAAAAAAGTATTAAATTATAATAAATAAACTTAGCTTAAGTTACGAAAAAGCTACTAGTTAAAAACTAAATACAAATTTTGTGATTTAAAGTCTCTTTAGCTTGCTATGAGTCCTCTGGATCCACCGACACTCGCAGGGATTTTTGAGTAGCTAGTACATGACTACCGCGTTTGACTACGAGAAATATGACATAAACCATATGAAACTCAACCACTGTTTGAAAAGCCAAGAGTCAAGTCTCTAGTTTGAGACTGATGATTGGCTTATAATTAATTATAAAACCATTTCAGCCTCAGCTCAGCTTGGGTGTGACCGTCAGTGTAGGCAGTTCCCTCGTCCCTCACCCATTTGTCTAATTTTATTAATTCATCCCAGTAAACCGGAAAATGTAAACCGGGTTCTACGTTCTAAGGGTCAAAATAAAGAGAAATAAAGTCAGCTGATAAAATAAACATCTGATTGCAACGGCCTATTTTATTTTCTGAAATATAAAAATATTATAATTTATGTTATGTCCTAAATAAATTGTGTTATAAGTTTAAAATGTACTAATTTTTCTGTGTAGTACAATGTAAAGTATCGTAGGTTACTCGCACGAAAAAACACCACTTACCGGGCTAGTAACGTAATATATTATTAAATTATGATCAGCTGGATAATTTAATTGTTGTTAATATTTTAGTTGCAATTTAAGGAAACGTGTGCTACAAGGAATATTTAACATATTTCTAGATTTAATACAAGTACCAAAATACGTGTACATCTATGAAGAGAGAAAAAAATTAATTCCATAACCACTTATTGTACATTGTATATTTTTATACGGGCAAAACCGGGTTTTATACCTTCTGGCCAGATATAGAAAGTGAGAATGATTGATTTTCTTCTTTCAGTTTTAATTTAATAGTAAACATTTTATTATTAAGTAGCCTATCTTAATTTATTTGTAACCTTAACTAATCAAACAGGTTTTAAATTTTAATTTTGATATTCCAGTTTTGGGATTTCATTTTTGGGGACAACTGTTGGTTAATATGTATATACAAACATTTAGGGTTCCTTTGCTGTAGTCAACACAACAATTGGTCGAATACTTTGTACCGTATGCCTATAACTACATTTACAACGGGCATTTAGATGGCCTTTCTCAGTACAAACCATAAATAGCTCTTGGTTTGTGCCTGAAGAAACAAAAAGGCATATTGTGTTATTGTACAACAGAAACAAGATAAATTGTTTTTTCACAGTGGTATATTAAATATTTTAAGAAATGTATAATAAATAGTAAGAAATGTATCATTTAAATGAGATACTCAGTTTATTATACATACATATTAACCCACAGTTGGCCCCAAACCCAAATCCCGAAATCAAAATTAAACAGCAAAACCTGTTTACTTAGTAGAGATTACAAATAAATTAAGATAGGCTGCTTAATAATAAAATGTTTACTATTAAATTAAAACAGAAAGAAGAAAATGAATCATTTTTAATAATTTCTATATAGGGCGGAAAATCTGGGGGTAAGAATCCAGGCTGTAATCTACAGTTGCCTAAACACTAGTTAATTGGACTAGGGGTAAAATTCCGTTTTTTTATTGCTAATCTAATTTATTACGCTCTGACGCTCTGTTTATTTTCATTAGACTTCCAAATCCGCGGGGGTAAAATTCCGCCCGCGAACAAACTTTAGAGCACTCAGGTTACTACGTCATAGCGACTTCAGCTTTGCCCAGGGGGTACAATTCCAGGGGGATAAAATTCCAGGCGACCCATTAAATTGACATAATAACTGCTGTTATAAAAGTTGGTCAGCATTATTACTGCAACTTTGAAAGCAAATTTTGTAATAACTCAGACGCTAGGGAGTTTTACAGTACAATAACAATAACACCTCAATCGTACAAATCGGTTAAGTAGCTCAGCTGAAAAAGGAGAAACGTTACAGAGAAAACCCTTTTTGTATTAAACATAAATAGATGTTTAGTATTTCCTCTATTAATTGTAACATGTAAAATAATTTTAGAACTGTTATACAAATAATTAGACATATTATTTGAAAGTTTTTGTTCAAAAAGTTTTTCAGTACAACCTACAACAATGAGTGGGACAGCTGTTGCTCACAATGTACAAATGCACAATTGAACTTTTGAACTTTTCCAAATAAAAACACGCGTACATTTTTAACATGCACTCGAAATGCACGTTTTTAATTCAGAAAAGCTTAAATTTCTCCACTGTTAGTTGTCCGATCATCATAATTTTTATTATCAGAGTTAATAGAGTATTATTAGAGTTAAATTTCACAACTTTTTGTCTCTTGTAAAATGTTTTTTTTTTAATTCATGATTTTTAAGATATTTAGCCTTAAAAACAAAAAACGGCTGCCATTTTGAAACGGTACAATGTAGAAACTTGGTACTCAATACCGAAATACATCCTGTTATTCCACATGCACATACCAAGTTTGAATTTAATACCTCAGGAGGTTCGTAAGATATGATAAATTATGTAAAAAACAGACAGAAAATTAAGCGCTTTAAAACGTATGTTTATATAAACTTTTTCTTATTTTCACCTCTACAATCATGTACTGAAATATTTTACCATAATTTTCAGGCACCCTGCATATTACAGTTTGAATGAATAGTGTATCCCTGGGGACATCAAAATGGATAAAGTAAATTGGTCCCAGGTCTAGGTCTTACCCTGCCATCTATGGTAACTTCTCTATAGGGATATTCACTAATAATATCAATCAGTATTTTAACTCTTTTGAAGTATGGTTTAATTTTAACAATTAGGAGACAGTTAAACTATTTTATATGTTGATTGATTAAAAATATATGTATGTAAAAAATATATGTTGACCAATTATTAAAAAAAAGTTGATTAGCTTAGTTCATTTAGCAATACTGTAATCTGTTAGTGTTTCTTCCTTGTAATTTTGTCTTTATTCACTAGAAGCTTTGCCAATTAGAGGAGTTGTTATTTAATTAAGACATTAAGAGTGTTATAGACATAGGTTCTTTGTGATTAGCTTTTCCAAATTTAAACAATGTTTTATAGGCCATGGATATGTTTAAAGAACTCTTTTTCAATAAGTAGTATAGGCCTAACAGTAGAGGAGATGTAATATTGATATCATTGTTATCTTACTTCTTACTTAATATCTTACTAATATTATAAATGTGAAAGTTTGTGTGTTTGTTTGTTTGAAGTTCAATCACGCATAAACCACTGGACGGATTGGGCTGAAATTTGGCATGATGATAGCTTACATTCCCGATTAACATATAGGCATATTCTTATCTCAAAAATCCTTTCGGGCTCCGCACCAGTGGCTCTGTAATTCCCCATGTTAACCTTATGAGTATTCATATTTAAAGGGAATTAAAGAATTTAGTCAGCTGTTTCAACTAAAAAAGTTGGTTCTATGATATGGAAAAGCATTAAAAAGTTATAAGATTTACCAACAGGGTGCAGCACTATATTTTTTTTGCATTTATGAAAACAGCTAATTTGAACTAAGCAGCAACAAAAAACTGTGATTCGCAATGAGAACTGTCAAAGTAGGATTGTTTACAGTTATGTTTATGTTTTTCATTTCATGAATAATCTGTGATATTTTGCGAATTGTTGATAATTTATTTTTCCCTATTGTTTAGGTGAAGTAATAGAACATTATGGCTATGGTAGATGTGTAATACTATAGAATACTGTAAATTTAAAAAAGCAAATTTTATCATACTGTGTCCTCCACCCATTGCAATCGCAAAGCTTGAGTATAACTGCAATAAGCATTTTATACTTATATTCCGACCCCGGTACTCTGCTAGTAATATTATAAATGTGAAAGTTTGTGTGTTTGTTTGTGTGTTTGAAGGTCAATCGCGCATAAACCACTGGATGGATTGGGCTGAAATTTGGCATGATGATAGCTCACATTCCCGATTAACATATAGGCATATTCTTATCTCAAAAATCCTTTCGGGCTCCGCCCCAGTGGCTCTTTAGTTCCCCATGTTAACCTTATGAGTATTCATATTTAAAGGGAATTAAAGAATTTAGTCAGCTGTTTCAACTAAAAAAGTTGGTTCTATGATATACAAAAGCATTAAAAAGTTACGCATTAGTTAATAAGTATAAGATTTACCAACAGGGTGCAGCACTATATTTTTTTTGCATTTATGTAAACAGCTAATTTGAACTAAGCAGCAACAAACAACTGTGATACGCAATGAGAACTGTCAAAGTAGGATTGTTTACAGTTATGTTTATGTTTTTAATGTCATGAATAATTTGTGATTTTTTAAAATTTGTAATACTTTATTTTTCTTTATTGTTTAGGTGAAGAGGTAGAACATTATGGCTATGGTAGATGTGTAATACCATAGTATACCGTAAATTTAAAGAAGCAAATTTTATCAAACTTTGTCCTCCCCCATTACAAACGCAAAGCTTGAGTATAACTGCAATAAGCAATTTAAACTTATATGCCAACCCCGTACAAAGGACGGGTACTCTGCTAGTTTATAATAAATTAAATGAAACATGGCTTGATGACGTTACCTGACAACATTAGATGATAAAGTTAATACTGGCAAGTCCTCTTAACCTCTAAAAAAATTAATAATCCCCTAATATGAAATAACATCGATGTATTATTACAACTGTGTAAAATTAAAAATTATGTTATCAATTATTTGTTGTTGCAGCGGACATCATATCATGTGTGGAATTCAACCACGATGGAGATCTTCTGGCCACTGGGGACAAGGGAGGAAGGGTTGTCATCTTTCAAAGAGATCCAATTGTGAGTACTTATTGTTAGAAAATAATTGAATGATTAAAAAAGTAATAATAGGCATATTTATAGTCGGTCCTGTATGGCTTTGGTAGTAGTGGTTCTGGATTTATTTTAAAAACAAGAGTGATAATGTGTTTGATCCTAGTATATTAGCATTATACTTGCAAAGTTAAAGCTCAATTCATTGTCAAATAGTTTTTAGTGAAGAAACAATAAAAAGTACACAGTAAAGAAGGAATTCTTCACCTATCATTGAGTTCTTGGCTGGAAAGTTAATGTTAATGTCAGTTTTGTAGTATCATTGACTATTGGATACAGAAGAAGACATCCCACATATGTGAAGAAAGACATATATGGATCAGCTGTCGCCAATTTTATTAAAAAAGAATGTAGGCCTAGTTTTGTGAGCCAGTCACAGATTGCGCTAGTGTCTAAAACTCTATTTTGTACCTTATTTTTCGTTACTGTCATAGTTGCTGGGTCACAATAGTTGCTATAGCTCATAATAAGTCATTCCATCGGTAAAAACCATCATGTAATCGGCAGAAATCAGTAATTTAGATCAGCGCAATCTATAGAGGTAGTATGCAATTTTGCAGCTGGGATGGTTATCATAGGACTGCTTCAGCCCTTGTATTGTAAAAAAAAAATCCTTCAGTGAATTTCTCTACAGGGAAGTGGCTAAGACTGGTGGTCCTTGTTGTAAATCTGGATCCAAGCTAACAGTACCATTTTGTTTTTTTTCCCCCCAAAAAACCCGCTGTATGTTCATTTTTATATACAGTGGAACCTCAATAATTTGAAAACCTTGATAAATTGAATTTTAATTATTCCCCTTAAACTTTTCTATCTGTTGCAATGTTAATTTTACCTCTACAATTTGAATAGTTCACGAGAAATACCTTGATAGATCAAAGTTTTATGGTATTTTCAGTCTTAAAAGTACCTCTATAAATAGAAATTTTTGTCCAAAAACCTCTTAAATTGTAATTAGTGCAACTACCCCACCTCTACAATTTGAAGTAATAGCAAGAAACCCTGTATTAATCGAAGTTGTATGAAATTTGTTATGATCAAAACATCGATACTGTATTTTACTGCGCCGAGTTTCAACAGGAAATACCAATTCTTTATTCTGTCCAACTTCCGCTCCTGTTGCGATCTATGTCAGTCATGGACGAGATTTGAAAGTGCATGTACTCGTGTACTTTAGATACAGTGTCTCCTTTGTTTTGGAGTGTTTGGTGCTAGTATGTTTCTTTAAGCCAATATGGCAAAATGTCCTTACTAGACACTAACCAATGAGGATAAGTTAAAAGTTATCGAAGCCGATCATTCATTGTAAAAGTGAAATTCCAAACAGGTGATAAGAGAGCAGAAGCCTGTCTTGTAATAATCAGGTAATAGCCGAGGGGCGATAAACTGAGAGGGCTCATTTATACCGATGACTCATTTGTTTGTTTACTCCATCCCCTACTCTATAACCGTTCCACTGGAAAATGGCTAAGAGCAGTAGAATAGGTTTAACAAAGAAGCAGTTTGAAATTAAATCTAACTTAACTCCCGATTAACCACGTTGTGGCTTAATCAGTAAACGTTCCAGGAAAAATAATTAAAATTAAATGCAGACGGACAGTCTTAATTACCAACACAAGTCAATGTTTTTGAACTGTAAATCCATGTTTTTAAACTGCAGTGTCTTTTTTTCCGAAAGAAGGGCAGTAGGATGTAAACAAACCATAAATCACTGTCACTAGCCGGGCCCGGGCCAACTCAAGGTCATATATATTCGTTTTTACCCTCTTACCCCGTTTGCAAAACAATAAGTACAAAATACAATTATTTTTGTATTTTAATACCATTTCTCATTCAATTCTATTTTTGGGGTTAACTGCGATTTTACATATCCGGGAAGCCTCAACCCTCCCGGTTAATCAGGAGTTGAGCAGTCGTTCCATTTTAATGTACTAAATTTTATATTTGCACTAGCTGAACCCGGCAGACGTTGTCTTGCCTTTGACTATTTATAATTTAAGTACCGTAACGTTTAATTGTCTTATTGTATATGAAGTGCTTATAACTAAATTAAAATACGTACGACAACTAATGAAACAAATATAGTACAAAGGATAACCGATTCTTTATTATTGCTCTTATATTAATGCTAGTGGGTAGACAATATTTTTTGTCTTTCTATTCGGCTCAATCACGTCCTGGTTGAAGTTCGTTCGCTACGCTCACTCACCTTTACGTTGGAGCTCGTTCGCTGCGCTCACTTGCCTTCAGGTTAGCTCGTTCACTACGCTAACTCGCCTTCAGGTTGAAGTTCGTTCGCTATGCTTACTCACCTTTTGGTTGCAAATTAGCTGTTGTCATAAATGTAAAAGAAATAATAGTGCTGCACCCTGTTGGTAATCCTTGTAACTTTAATGCTATTGAACATCATAGAACAGAACCAACTTGTTTAATTGAAACAGCTGTTAAGATTCATTAATTCCATTTCTCATAAGGTTAACATGGGAAACTCCAGAGCCACTGGGGCGGAGCCGATTGGACGGATCACGAAATTGATGGTGTATAAACCTATTCCATGAAATTCTACACATATGTCCCAAGTTTCGTGGCAATCGGTTCAGCGGTATCTGAGTTTATCACTGCCAAATATATATATATATACAAACATCCTCTTTTATACTTATAGATTATTATCCAGTCATTTACAATGCACAACGTACAAAATACCATATTTTAGAAGGCAATCAATTCGCCTGATTTATTTTTTGCACTGAATTGAACCATTGTAAATCTAATTTTGGGGAGGATGAACCTTGATAAATCAAACCTTTATTATTACTCAATAATTCAAAATTTCCTCGTTCCCCTTGGGATTTTATTTATTGAGGTTTCACTGTTCATGCAGAGTATCAAAATAGTGTTGTTAGCTATTCATATTTTTATTCAACATGCAAAAATAAATGAAAATAATCAGTTACATATTACTTTTTTCTTTTTAATATCAGTCGAACACCAATGTTTTAATTTCAGTCCCTACTCTATCTCGATCATTAATACAATTTTTAACCCTGAATCTATCCGTCCATATAAGCCTTAAAGGTCTGTGTGTGGAATATATAAATTTCAAGTGGTGGTACTGGGACACAAACCCAAAGACATCACTGTCCATTGCGCTGGGCCTACTGATTGAGCTGCAGACTCACTAACTAGTGGTACTATTGTACAATGTTGTAGCATGTTATAATCAACAGTGTATTTAAATATTTTTCTTATAATACATTTTCTTTTTTAGAGTAAAAATTGCATTCCAAGGAGAGGAGAGTACAATGTGTACTCCACCTTCCAAAGTCATGAGCCTGAGTTTGACTACCTCAAGAGTTTGGAGATAGAAGAAAAAATTAATAAGATTAGATGGCTCAAGCGGAAAAACCAAGCCCATTTTCTCCTATCCACTAATGGTAGGTATTGCAGATAGTTCTCCGCTATGCATAGTCCTGGTTTGCTTCAAGTTGCATACTTACAGTAGAACTGAAATTGTCCCAACTTCAATCACACTGATTGCCAATCATCCGTATCACCTCAAGGAGAGAATAACAAATCATTCAGGAAAATTAATTTTTATGCAGTTTTTGTCATCTGTTTCATTTTTTAATGTATTCCAATTGATTTCATTATGTGGCGAGAGTATCCTAGTGTCGTACCAATTGGCGGGTGATTAATTCATCTGTCTAGTGATTTGTTTTGTACACTTTTTAATGGCAAAAGCCATCTCTGGAACTTTTATTATCTGGGCCATTAACGCTCCTTTCACACTATCCGATTGTTAGTCGACGGGAAGCCCTCCCCGAGTGCAGTTCATTACATATAGTTTTAAGATATATTTTTGTACAGTTTAAATTATTTAGTTACTGAGTTAAATTGTATTTGTTTCATTTAGTATTCAACGTACGCATTAGGCTATTAAACAATTTTTATTTTAAAATGTAATAAAATACATATTTTATCAGTACTTAAGTAAGGCATTATTATGAAATGCTAATATTCTACTCATTGTGTAGTGATACAGAACAAGATAAATATAAAAACCATCAAAATGAAAAAATCAAGATTTTTATTATCTACTAGCTGCAAAACCTGGTGTTGCTTGAGTCAAAATGAAATTTTACAATAATGGTAATTCTTTCTACAACATTCAAGACAAACCTCTATCAAGCATTTCGATAGTTTGTTTGAAAGTTGTAAAACAGACTTGAGCATTTAGAGTGTTTTTACGCCAGTGGCATTTTTTAAGTTTTTGGAAGGGAACAGTCCAAACCCTGGTCTTGATACAGTCAACCTTTTTGTTAGATAGCATCATTAAATCATAGCACAATGACAAATGGCATCTGGGACTGGAAACGATCTCCATGATGATGATTCCAACCAGCAACCTTCAGATTTGAGCACTCGGCTACCTAGATAATTAGCATTACCGATTGAATTTCCCTGTAGGGAAGTAGCTATTACTGTGGGTGGCACAGTAAGACCTTGAACCGAGACCGATATACTTTTTCATTTTGATGTCCCTAAAGGCCAAAAACACTATTCGTTCAAATTTTTATATGTGTATTTTTTTATACAGGGTCAGTTTTAAATGAGTTCCCCCCTTACTTCTTCCTACATTTCTTTTTTTAAGATATCAACTCCGGACCACGTCAGATCATTGTAAAGTAGTAAGTACTTAATTTTGACTGGGTATAAATTTTTAGACGCCATTATTGGATACAAAGTTTTTTTTTTCAAATGTAAAGGTAGGGTTGTGATCCATCAATTCAAACTAGAATTTTATGCTGAGTAAAATCCATTTTTCAAAATATTGATCCGTTGAAAAGTTATAACGAGTTTTCAAAAATTAATTTTTGAACCAGTTCGTTTATAACCTAATGTTAAAATATGCCCCTAGTCTCAATAATTACCTAGAAAAGGAGAGAAATGTACCACTCAACATTTCGGGTCATATTTTCTTCTTTTTGACGAATTGGACATTTTCAGCCGCCATATATTGGATACAAAAAGTTTGGAATGTCAAATTTACTTCATTTTAACGAATTATTAATTTTCGGTCAAAAAAATTTATACAAAAATTATTTAAGAAATTCCTAATAACTCTCTAACGGATTAAGATTTTGAAAAACGGATTGCAGCATTGTATTCAGCGTAAAAATCTAGTTTAGTACGATTGGTCACAACCCAACCTTTACATTTGAAAATAAGTTTTTGTATCAAATATGGTGGATTCAAGATGGCGGTCAAAAATTTATACTCAGTCAAAATGAAGTACTTTCTACTCTACAATGATCTTACGTGATCCGGAGTTGATATATACTCTATTATATTTAATCAAATAGCACCACACAATAGTCTGTTGCTCATCGTTGGGTTGACAGTAGAGCCGTGGTGCTACAGTAACTGAACTGGTCAGAAGTCTGTCAGGCTCTTCATGCTAACAGATCTTTGTACAGTTTGTACATGACTTCTTTATTTTAGTAACACAATTGTTTAATTAATTAAAACAAAAATGTCTTTATTGAGTGTTTCTCTGGTCCACCTGACTTCAAAACAACTTTTGTCACATTAAAGATTGAAACCAAATAAATAGTACATTGATTTTGATTTGTTTACAGATAAAACAATAAAGTTATGGAAAGTGTCGGAGCGAGACAAGAGAGTTGAGGGTTACAACACCAAAGAGGAGAATGGCCAAGTTAGGGATCCCACAAATGTTACTGCATTGAGGGTGAGAGTGCTAAGTATATCTTTATATTAATAACTAGCAGAGTACCCGTCCTTCGTACGGGGTTGGCATTTAAGTATAAAATGCTTATTGTAGTTATACTCGAGCTTTACGTTTGCAATGGGGGAGGACACAGTTTGATAAAATTTACTTCTTTAAATTTACGGTATACTATAGTATTACACATCTACCATAGCCATAATGTTCTACCTCTTCACCTAAACAATTGAGGAAAAAATTACAGTAGAACCTCTTTAATCCGAACTAATTGTGACCGGGGGTAGTTCGGACTATTGAATAGTTTGGATTACAGAACATATTGTTGTTTTTACATAACAATAGGTAGGGAAAAGTGAAAAATGCTTTATAAAGTAAAATACAGTGTTTATTTGATACAGTAGTAAACATAGGGAATTATCAGTACCTACTGTACATTACAATCGAAATAATTACGGTGCGTAGCCTACATAAATAAATACAGTATACAATAAAGAACTTCTGTACTGTGTATAGAGTACAGTAATGAGGCGTTCGGATTAGTGGACGTTCGGATTACAGGGGTTCGGATTAAAGAGGTTCTACTGTATTAGAAATTTGCAAAATGTCACAAATTATTCATGAAATTAAAAACATAAACACAACTGTAAACAATCCTACTTTGACTGTTCTCATTGTGTATCAGTTTTTTGTTGCTGCTTAGTACAAACATAGACTAACCAACACAAGTTGACTTCTCATCCCATTGTAAATTTTGAAGCACGTTTTTCGTGTCTAGTTCATGTGCGGTGACACTGGGCGCTAGTATCAACGAAATTTTGTTTCTATTATTTTAGGGTTGATTTTTTTATTTGTGCTTTACTGTTTGGTTATATATTTAGGGTGCAAATTATTGTTTATGATTTGATGGTATTATTTGGTTAAACGAGGTTTTAAATGACTGTAATAACGGGAAACAAATTTTAAACAAAACACGACCTCTACATAATTCGTACAGAACTAACAATAAAGTTTTCTTAAGCTGTTCCATAAGGATGAGAAATCTACTAAGAGAGTATTTTTCATCTATAGTTAGCTGTTTTCATAAATAATAATGCTGCACCCCATTGGTAAATTTTATAACTTTGCTTTTGCATATCATAGAACCAACTTTTTTAGTTGAAACAGCTGACTAAATTCTTTAATTCCCTTTAAATATGAATACTCTTTAGGTTTACTTGGGGAACTGCAGAGCCCGAAAGGATTTTTGAAATAAGAATATGCCTATACCTATGTTAATCGGGAATGTGAGCTATCATCAAGCCAAATTTCAGCCCAATCCATCCAGAAGTTAACGCGTGATTGAACTTCAAACAAACAAAGAAACACACAATCTTTCACATTTATAATATTAGTAAGATTATAAGGCATAGTAAGCTTTTAAAATGTATATTTTCATTTTGCTTTTTACATAATCTATCTAGCATAAATTGTCTTCGCAAAGAAGGAGGTATTCAGGTAATCTACAAACAGTGCCTGTATAAGATAGGCTATACCAGCAGCCCTCAAAATTTAAGATTGAAATTTTACTATTGGTGCTTGTTCTCCGACATTAAACTGTGCAGCTGCAATATAGTAGTAACAATAACTGTTCATCATCATTCAGTAACATAAAAACACAATAGACAACATCAAGATACAAATAAGGACCTTTCTTAAATCTTATCTCAATCCTATGAAGTGCATATTCAAAAACATGTTAAAAATAAAATAAAAATAGTTTATAATACACAACAATCTAGTAGAGTGCATGACTAAATACATGTTAGAACGGTATAGCCTACCTCAAAATTGTAACACCATTGGTAAGCTGTTGTTAATTTTACTTCTTTTGAATTATGTTTCCATAACATAACAACGGCATTAAATAAGATTAAAAATATAAATCTAATTTTCAGTTAATACTGTTCATTTTATAGACTTGTTTCAAAACTTTCTTTTTATGCACAGGAAAAAAAATCCCGTCCCGAAAATCGGGAAGGAAATAAAAATCCTGTCTCGTCCCGTCTCGAACTAAAAATTAAATCCCATCTTCTTGTGTCGCGACGTGATAGCTTTTTTTATAATAATAGTAATAAGCTAGAAATAAAACCTGATCTGGTAAACAAAAATGTAATAACAATGGTCAATGTAGGTACCGGTGATAAAGCCAATGGAGCTGATGGTTGAAGCATCCCCACGGAGGATATTTGCCAACGCTCACACATACCACATAAACTCCATCAGTGTAAACAGTGACCAAGAGACTTATCTGTCTGCGGACGATCTCCGGATCAACCTGTGGCATCTGGAGATCACAGACCAGAGCTTCAACATCGTAGACATCAAGCCGAGCAACATGGAGGAGTTGACAGAAGTGATCACTGCAGCTGAGTTCCATCCCCAGGAGTGTAACTTGTTTGTGTACAGTAGCAGTAAAGGGACAATACGCTTGTGTGATATGAGACAGGCAGCACTTTGTGATAGACATTCTAAATGTGAGTAGCTTAATTACCTAACATCTATTGCATCAGTGTGCACAGTATTCATTTAGAGTTGTTTTATTTGGTAGACCCTGGACCAATTTACATTTTCCAGGATGTCTAGTAGTCGTGAAAGTCGGGAGTTAGTATTAAATTTCAAAATGGTCTTGAAAAGTCGGGATTTTTACTTTTCGATATCAAAGTCGGGAATTCTCATGATTTTGTCACGTTCGCGCTTAAGACGATGATTGTGTTCCCATGATCGCGGGAGACGATGATGATGTCTACAAGGGCGGGATTTGTTCATGATTAAGCCGCAATCGCGCTAGATGACAATCGCGGGAAAAATGATCATGATTTTGCCACAATAGTGGACAACGACTATGACGTTTCCATGACCGTGGGAGACGATGATGTCTACACGGCCGCCACAAATGTTCATGATTTTGCCGCAGTTGCGGACGACAACGAAAATGTTTCCGTGAAAGGTTAAAAAAATCTGGAATTAGTCTTGAATTTAAAAATGGAAAAAATAGACATCCTGTTTTTCGTTTTGATGTCCCCAGATGCCAAAAACACTTTACAGAAAAAAATCACAGAATTGTAAATTTAAAATTCCAATGTTATTCTTATAAAAACTATTGTAGTTTGCTTGTTTACGGATATATTTTGATCAAACTTGGCAAATTAATCTATTTTATACCAATCCTTGTTTTTGTCCCTGAGCTGAGATATAAACAAAGTAGGTTTTACCTTTGTCTACAGCTCAATCATTTGTACCTTAAGTTATGGCCATAAGTTACAAGTGACTGAAGATGTCTCATGATGGCATTGCAATGCAGAAACAGCCGTAACGCAAGTTACAACTGATGGAGCTGTAGATGAACGTAAAACCTATTTTCCTACAGTCACCCGACAAAGTTGGCTTCCTTGTACTGTTTATAGTACAGAAAGCTGCTAATTGCTGCATATTTATACTTTGTCGTACGGTTTATACTTTGGCGCACATCAGGATTCCAACGAAACAACACAAAACAGCGTGGTTCTATTATGCACGTAATCCGTGTACGCTTGGTAATAGGTTGGCAACACTTAAAGATAATAATACTATGAGCAGCTGATTGACTATTATAACTACGATTTAACCTGTCATTTCGTGTTTATAGTTTCGGTATTTCTGAACTTTCTGGACTTTTCTTTTAAACGTTTTTAAAACATTCCTACGATCTTAATAAACAAGAAAATACCTTTAAAGCATTTTTTTAGGCGCGGGAACCACTTCAAATTACAAAAACATACGGAACTATTATATTCTCAAGTCGCGGAGCACATTTCTTGCCAAGGAAAAAGCGGAGTGATACGGACCGGGTACTACTTTCTCTAGGGCACCTATTTGTGTTGCCAGCTGAACCTAAAAACGTGTTGTATAGTGTTTTAAATACTAATTATTTATATGCTTTATAGTGACTGTAGGAAAAATATAATGTGTAACACGAGTGCAAAAAGCCTTTGCTGTACTCGAGATCATTCCGCACTCGCCTGCGGGCTCGTTCGTAAACATTGCTCTCGTGTGCAGCAACAAATAACTGTTTATTAACATTTTACTAAAAACACAATTTATTACCATTTACCTACCCCCCTGTACCAGCAAACCTAAGTACCAATTGGGGACGAAATCTGACATTTTTAAGGGAATATTTAAGTGAAAATCCAATCAACCAAAAAGAAATTTAGTAGAACCTTGTAACAAGACTCTCATGAGAAATTATTAAAAAAGACTTGTTATCAAGGTTGCCTTCTTATCGAGGTTTGCAATAACATATGATTAGGGGTAAAATAAATTCTAGGGGATTTAAAAATTACACTTGTTATTAAGGGCGACTTGTTATCGAGGGTCTTTTTATCGAAGTTCCACTGTACGTTTGGTCTGTAGGTTTGCAGCAGCTGGGCCGCTGAGATATTACTTATATACTCTCCTTTATTTTTCAAGAGTGTTTGGGGTATGGAAAATAATTCAAACTTAACAAACTTAGGCAAATAGATTTTAACTGTAGGACTGCCGATGTCATTTTATTGCCGATCCGGGTCCTTTGTGTACCATTCTATCCAGTATATAAGCTTATAATTTACAGATTGACTTATGTTAAGCATGGATTTAAAGTTTTAGTTTAAGATGTTTGTAGGGCTATCCTGCTAACTTGCTCGTAATATTTTTTTGTTGGGTTAGCGTAGTTGGATACTTTTTTCTCCGTCTACTGACTTCAAAATTCAAGGTCAGCCTATGAGTTGTTTCATAACCAAACAACAAAACATTCCATTTTTATAGAAAATTCACAACAAATAATAAAAAAAAATACAAAAGAGTTATACTAGGTATGGACGTGTCCCAAAATTTCAGGAAATTTCCGGGAAGAAAATATTTCCGATTTTCGGGACTGGATTACGTTTGATTTGGGAATTTTTCAGGACAGGATTTGATCCGTCGGCGACTATGTCTCTTCGCAAGTGACGATGACGCAAACGCAGGAGGCTAAGTCATTTCAACGAATGTGCCATCACCACGAGTAAATTCGATGATCGCACCTTGACTGCGGAGTCATACCGACGATCGTGCCATGACCGCGTAGTCATACCAACGATCGTGCTGTGACTGCGGAGTCACACGTTTCTATACCTGTAAATTTTTACCCATTTTTTTGTTTTTGCCTAGATCAGTGCCACAAATGGTAAAAATTGATTTTGTTTGTCCTTTTTGGTAACTGCAATACTCAAGACTTTCTTTTTATGCAGAGGAAAAATCCCGTCCCGAACTAAAAATTCAATTCCGTCCATTCCTAAGCAATACTAATATCTATATAATGAAATTTAAATATGGTCTATTTTTGATATGACCCATAAGAAATATATAGTATGAACATTTTTGGTAGAACCTAAAATTAAAGTGGTCATAAAATAATATGTAAGGTAGGTTTTATTACGATATATATAATATAATAATACTCTCAGTTTCTTGCTGAAACAAATTATATACAACATAGTATAACTTTCTTAACCCTCTGAGTGCTTGGCCAATAGTTCATATTGTGTAAGACTTTTTGTTTGCCTTTTAATTCCATTGCCTGATGTTAAATTGTAACTGTATTGTTCACACTATTTTATTAATCAGGCTAATCCATATATAGATCCCAAAGTATCCATGAACTTTTGAGAAAACTGCAAGTCACGCCCCCTTAAACTTAAACTTATTTTAATATTTTTATTCACTTTTTAAATTCAACTTGAAAACTCAAGGTCAGCTGTTGAGCTGAAGCAGTTTAAACAAACAAAATCATTCAATTTGTATTGGATGGAAAGTTACAACAAAAAAATACTTATTTCCAATAAGTAAATAAGATTTCCTATGAAATGTATATACACCGTTCATCGTGTATTTTTTAAATGACCCATAAAATAGGCTATATAATATGACACTTCTGGGTACAACCTTTAAATAAAGAGGTTATAAATATTGTGGTTAAGTGTTGTCATCACAATATAAATAACATAATAATGTTCTCTGTTTCTTCCAGAAACAAATCATACTCAATATTTATCCAACATTCTTGAAAACAATATTTTTTATTTGACTTTAAAATAACTACAAACTGCAGCAAAATGTGCTAGCATTTTAACGGATCTAATCGGCAGTTCCAGCATTAAGCAAGTAGCATTTATGTATTTGGGCCATGTGTAATTAGTTATTAACACACTTGCTTGGCCATCATTAATATACAACTCTCTGGCCATAATTTAATCTATTTTTATTATGTTTACTATTTTCAGTATTTGAAGAACCTGAAGATCCTACAAATCGCAGTTTCTTCTCTGAAATCATATCCAGTATTTCTGACGTGAAGATTTCAAATTCCGGCCGATACATGATCTCAAGAGATTACCTTTCCGTTAAGGTAATTTATACAAAATGACTTGACAAAAACTAAAAAATGCCTGAAATGATAACAAAAATTACAAAATGTTTGAAATTTTTGGGAGTTGCTTGGTAATTAATTAACAATAAAGGGATACAGTATTAGATTTTTTTAATTTGAAGCACAGTTGACTTATTTCTTTGAAGCAATAGAAAATAACAATTGGGAAAAAATGATACTATTAGATAATTAAATCAGAAGTAATTACAGGAATGTAAAATTGAATCAAGTAAACTCTATTCAAGGATGTTAAAAGTCCTGTAATTGTCCTTGAATTGTAATCGTTGTTTTGAATATAAATTATAATGTAACAATATTGAGAAACTACAGTAAAATATCACTAACTTGATACCCGGTAACTTGACAGTCCATGTAAGCCGACAGTCAACAGCGTACCGGACACACTAAAAAAAGGCAATTTTTTTGTTTTAATTGTTGGATATTCAACATAATAAAGATAAATACTCACCACACAATAGTCTGTTGCTCATCATTGGGTTGACAGTAGAGCCGTGGTGCTACAGTAACTGAACTGGTCAGAAGTCTGTCAGGCTCTTCATGCTAACAGATCTTTGTACAGTTTGTATATTTTTATTTAGCCTATAACGGTTTTGATTTTCACATTATTGTGTAATTTATTGTTAATTTTTATCTAATTGCTGTGTTTCTATTGATTTTTCACAACACCGCAATTATTTCAGGTTTGGGATCTTCACATGGAAACAAAACCCATAGAGTCGTTTCCGGTTCACGAGTATTTGCGTTCCAAACTATGCTCGCTGTACGAGAACGACTGCATTTTTGACAAGTTTGAATGCTGTTGGAGTGGCAACGACTCATGCATCATGACTGGCTCATACAACAACTTCTTCCGCATGTTTGACAGAGGCACCAAACGGGATGTCACTTTGGAGGCTGCTAAGGAGATAGCTAAACCCAAAACTGTCTTAAAACCAAGGAAGGTAAATGTTATGTAGGCCTCAATTATTTGACCACCGGGAGGTATGGTTATCTAGAGTGTGGGGGGTTTTCTCTGGAACCTCAATTGAGTTAAGGGTGTCTCCACCTTTGGTGGATAGGTTCATCCGGGTGGGTCCCACTTCTAAACCCGCCTCCTTTTGGGAAACCCTGAGGGCCTGGCAGTGATGTTGGGCTTGATGGGCAAACGAAGTAGATCGGGTGTTGGGATCAAGCCCGCTAGGGGTATCTGGGGATCTATCGCCCTGGGTATCCCTGGTTTCCCAGCAATGGGATGGCCTCGATCGGGTAGTGGTGGAAATGGGGGGTTGGTGTTCCCCCGTCAGCTTGCTGGCGGTCCCCTTCCTCCTGGCTTTGATGGCGGGTTTCGGCCTGTCAGGGATTGGATAGGTCCCGAGTGTTGCTTGCACTAAATGCGTCAGGGCATTTCATTATGGGCCTTCAGGTTTTGTACCTGCTGGTTCCAGGTGGAGTGACGCTTAACCAAGTAGCCGGTATCCCTGGTTAGGATTGAGGGGCAACCCTCTTTCCGAAGGGTTGCTTCGGCAGCCAGTGAGCCTGATGACCTTACGTCATCCGCCCATGGTGTACCAAGGTTGGTGCGTATGCTCCGGCCTACACCATGGGGCCCGGGTATGTTTAATTATAGGTACCGGGTATGTTTAATTATAGGTACCGGGTTGCAGTTGAAGGGCTTCGGCTCTTTTGACACAAACAAATGGAAATGGTAAGGCCTCAATTATTAAGTGTATCAAGAATTAATTTTTTATTTTACACAACCCGCCATGTTTAACTTCCCTATCCCAAGCGTGATGTAAACAACTTCTTTACTTCACTTGTGAAGTAAAGTTTCAAAAACTCACTAGTGAAGTAATGAAACCCATTTAAATAACATTGAGTGCTCAACGTAAAAAAATATACCTCTATGGAGTCAACGACGTTCAGCGCTAGAAATCAGCTGTGCGCTTGAATGTTATTGATATGCTTTAAAGAATTTTCCTAACCTAGCTTTTGTCTGTAGAAGAACGTTACTGTTTGAAGATGAGTGAAATGGATAATGAAAAGTATTGTACGTAGCCCCCTGTATATTGTCGGGTCAGGTAAAATAGTGTATCACGTTACCCAAGAGTGTGTTTACATTACTTAGATGAATTATGCAACTTGCTTCCGCTCGTTGCACAACATTCACCTGCCTGATGTAAAAACGCTCTTACTACACTTGTAAGGTAAATAGCTATTATGGAAGCTTTAAAATTATAGAAAATATTATTTTAGAAAACTGTCATATAGCCCATAGGCAAATACCTGCTTGGATATTATTGTCTATGTAATGAGACTTAGGTCCAGGACTACTGTGATTGCTTGGTTTTGTTTTGATTTTAGGGTTCCAGAAGGCCTAAATCCTCTGTTAAAGTGTATATATGTATAATGTTTTGCTTGTGTATAAATATATAAATAATTAACGGATTGTAGATATTTAGGCAAGCACTGTGGATGCGATGCTCTCTGGTGTGGATTAACTTCTGCACTAGTGATAACTATGACTATCCACAGTACTATCCTGAAAATTAGACCAATTTGTTTATTACAAGGAAAAATGTGGTTCGGATTCCACTATAAACTGTAGGTCCCTTAGTTGCCATTAGCTGTATGGGCTATTAATTAACATCTGTGTCTAAGGAACATGTCAAGCCTTAGTCACTAACAAGACTAGAAGATCGCGCCACTCATCCTTCACACATATTTGTGTTAAAATATGCACATAGTGACGTCCATATCTTAAATAATATATGTAATTGAATTTGAATTGATATATCTCAATAAAATAGATAAGCTATTTTAATTTCAATGCAAAAAATATATAAAATTAATGGCAGGATATGCTACATACATTTGCAATTGTTACATATTAAATAAAAGATGTGTAAAATAAAATAGGTGTATTCTGAATTGAATCCTAAATAACAATGATTGTAAACAAAAACAATGTTAACTTATTAAACATATCATATGGTATTTTGTTAAACATACAGTATGTTAGAAAAGACACATCAATTTTCCCCCTTTAAGGGCCGGCGCGCACTATCCCGACCACGACCACGACCACGACTCCGACTGGTCGGATACGACCAGTTTTATAATAGGAATAAATGGAACAGCGCGCACTGGTCGACTGGTCGGACCCTGGTCGGGCCCTGGTCGCACGACCAAAATTTTCCAGTTTGGTCGGGCCCGACCCGCTGGTCGTTGCAGCCAAAAATAGCACACAATGTAATGGGACGACGCGCACTACCCCCGACTTGCCTCCGACCCGACCAGTACACCACTCAACCCCCAGTATTCCTAGACCAATCAAACGGTGAGCACTAGTTTTTTGCGCCGGTCTGTAAAGTGACTCATTTGGTAAAATGTCGCAGGATTTTGACACTTTTGAAACCTGTCTTCATATTGACGTAGCTCTTCATAAAATGTTGCAAAATGCCCTTTCAGACCTGACAATTAACATTGGATGTACCCAGTATAGTTTCTTCTTCCGCTTAACGTACTTACAATACAAATGCGCCATAACAACTACTTCTTCAACAATCATCTTGACACTGAAGTTTGTAAAATATTCGTTGCCTTGGTCGGGTCGTGGTCGGGTCGTGCTCTGGTCGCATGGTGAATGACAACCACTGGTCGGGCGTTTGGTCGTGGTCGTGGTCGTGGTCGGGATAGTGCGCGCCCGGCCTAAAGTCTTGATCGCAGCATTTGATCTACATGTCGTCTGCATGTTACTCCGTTCTCCAGTTCAACGTTGTAATGTAGATTTCCATCTCTTGATGTAACTTTTCCGAAACTCCATTTTGTCTGACCCTTGTAGTAGTTTCTCACTTGAACACGGTCTCCCACCTTAAATATGCGTGTTATACCTTTAGGTTTGTCTTTTGAGTCCTCGATTCTAGAAGGTATCATAACACTGAGGTATGTTCTTACTTGTCTGTTGAACATGAGATAGTATGCCGAGTTTCCTGTTGAGTTTGGTACTTGACGGAGTTGAATTAACGCCTTGTGAATTTTACTGTCAAGTGTTCCTGGTTCATCTAATATCGACTTCAACATCTTCTTCACTGTTTGTACAAAGCGTTCAGCTTGTCCATTAGATGATGGGTGGAACGGAGCAGTCGTTTTGTGTTGAGTTCCACATGACTTAAGAAACTCTTGAAAAGTAAGAGAAGTGAAACTTCGTCCATTGTCTGAAATTAGGAGGCTTGGAAGACCAAAAGTACTAAAAAGTTTCTTCAACTCCTTAATAGTCCAATCGGTAGTTGCTGTTTTTGTGGGTATTACCTCTACCCATTTGGAGAAGGCATCAACAACAATGAAAAATTGTTGTCCATTTGTTGGGCCCATGAAATCTATATGTATTCTCTCCCATGGCTGAGTTGCTGGTTCCCAAGGATGGTTGATCTCTTTCGTTGGAGAATTTTGTTTCTCACGACAAGGCTTGCAAACAGCAATCATGTTTTCAATGTCTTTATCCATTCCTCTCCAAAAGCAGTAACTTCTTGCCAAAGCTTTGGTTTTTACTATACCAATGTGCCCGTAGTGTAGTTCATTGAGAATTCTTTTCTTGAGGGAATTTGGGATGATTACTTTCCACCCTTTGAAGAGGCATCCTTCATGTAATGTAACTTCATTATCGTGAAATCCCAATGGCTCTAATGATTGACCCTCCTCAAGAGCCTCAAGAATTTGTTTTAGATATGCGTCCTTCTTAGTTTCTTCGGCTAGTTCTTTGGGATTGATAGTTATGGTGTTCAATTGGTTTGTTTGAAAATGTCCAAACTGGTCAATACTTGTAAATTTTGAATCTTCCACAGGAAATCTTGAGAGGAAATCTGCATTCCCATGGTCACCAGTTCTCTTGAATTCAATTGTGTAGTTAAATCCTGATAAAAAATGGGAGTAGTTGAATAGTCGCATAGCTGACATTGACGGTAGGCTCTTGTTGGGATTGAAGATTGACACTAATGGTTTATGGTCCGTGATGAGTGTGAAATGACGTCCGTAGCAATAAGAAAAAAATTTCTTTAACCCCCAGTATATACCTGTGGCTTCTTTATCGATTTGGCTGTAATGTTTTTCAGCATTGGTCAATGATCTTGAAGCAAAAGCTATAGGCTTTTCACTTCCATCTGGGAAACGATGTGATATCACTGCTCCAAGTCCCACTGGTGAAGCGTCAGTTGCAAGGATCAATGGCAGGTCTGGGTTAAAGTGACAAAGAACTGTGTCACTTGTTATTCTTTTCTTGATGTTTTGGAAACTTTCTTCACACTTACTGTCCCATATGAATGACTGCCCTTTTCTTAGAAGTCTATGTAAAGGATTTAAAACAGTGGACAAATTCTTTACAAACCGGTTGTAGTAATTAACAAGCCCTAGGAAAGATCGGAGTTCCTGTATGTTTTGAGGTCTTCGTGCATTTATAATTGCTGTGATTTTATCCTTACTTTTGTGGATTCCAGTGGCATCAATAACATGTCCTAAGTATTCAATTTTCTTTTGAAAAAATTTGCACTTGTCACGGTTCAACTTCAAATTTTGACTCCTTAAACGCTCAAACACTTGCTTTAGTCTTTCTAGTGGTTCTTTTGATGACGTTCCTTGAATTATTATATCGTCGAAGAAGCACTGCACACCTTGAAGGTCTTGAAGGATTCCGTCCATCACCTTTTGCCAAACTCCTGGAGCAACTTTTACACCAAACATCAGTCTGTTAACTCTGTATTGTCCTTTGTGAGTGCTCAAAGTTTGAATTTCTGCACTCTCAGCATCCATTTCCAAGTGGAGATAAGCGTTACTTAAATCCAAAGTACAGAACAACTGTCCTCCATTCATTTGAGCAAAAATGTCTTCGATCCGAGGTATTGGATGATGTTCTTCTTTGATTTGTTTATTTACTGTAACCTTGTAATCAGCGCATATTCGTATGTTACCATTAGGCTTTACTACAGGTACAATTGGAGTACCCCAATCGGACTTGTCTGTTTTGGAAATGATTCCAGCTTCTTCCAGACGATTCAACTCGAGTTCTACTTTTTCAGTTAGTGCATATGGGACTGGACGAGCCTTCACAAAAATAGGTCTTGCCCCTTCAACAAGCTGTAAGTGTGCTTTTTTGTGAGGTATGAGTCCTACTCCTGGTTCAAATAATTCCTTGAATTCATCCAAAAGATCTTCGAGTGCAGTAGATGTAGTATTGTTACTAACTGTTTTAAGTTCTGCCCAATCCAGTTTGACCTCTCTAATCCATTCTCTTCCGAAAATTGCATCGAAATTTTGGTTCACTATGTAGAGTTTCCCAACAAACACCTGATCATTGTAAGTGCATTCTACAAAGACGACACCCCGGGGTTTGATTATTTCGTTTGAGTATGTCCTTAGTTCTATGTTTGTGTGGAAAATCTTTTTATTTATGTTGAGACTTTTGAAGGTAGAGTATGGTAGAATACTTATTGCTGCTCCAGTATCTAACTCCATCCGCACAGGTTTACCTTCAATAAGTATCTCGACCATAAACTTGTCATTACCGCCACTCTGGTTGTGTATCTTAAAAACCTCTTGTTTCTCTTCCTTATAATAGTCTATAGTATTGTCAGTTTCGGTACAATGAATTTCTGTTTGTTTTGTGCCTAAACATACGCTAGCAATATGCCCTTGTTTGTTGCATTTCTTACATATTTCTCCGATAAATTTACACTGATGTGCCCTGTGTCTAGGTGATCCACAACGATAGCATTTACCTTTGAGGCGTTCAAATGGAGACTTTAACTTTTTGTTCCAAGTAGGAGAAAAATGGGGTGGTTTTGTTCCTGTACCTGCTATCTTGTTGATTTTCTCATTTGAATGAATGTTTTCTTCTACTATATAGCTTTCGTTCTTTGCCAATTCCATGATGGAGGCAAGTTTCACTACATCTTGAAACGATGAAGCAGATCTTGTAATAATTTTGTTCTTATGTCTGAATTGCTAATACCTCTTATAAACTGCATGCGTAGTAATGTGTTTGCAATTGATTTCCCACAATTATTACAGTTGAAGTCACAGTCTGAAGATAACTTTTGAAGCTCAACGGAATATATTTTTACGGTTTCTTCAGATTCTTGTGTTCTTGTCATAAATTTGTGTTGTAAGGCCCAAGTACTAGGTTTAGGGTCAACATAATCAGCCAAAAGATTTACTAATTCAGCATATGTTTTATCCAAAGGACTTTCGGGAGCGCACAAATCATACAGCTTCTGATGTAAATGTGGGGTTAAGGCATGTAGCATTGTGTACACTTGATCCTTTGGTTCCAATTCTTGGCTATGTAGATATAGAAATATCTCAAATCGACGAATAAAGTTCTTGAATGATTCATTTTCCTGATATGGTGTGAAAATCATTGAGGAAGTAGTGGATCGACGTTGTGGAGTAGACAAATTTGATGTACTAGGCACAATATTTTGAGTGTTCACTTGTAGTTCTGCAAGCTGTCCCATACGTTTTTGTAACTCATCCATTACCTTGTAATATTTGTCCTCCATTTCTACTCTGTAATCTATTTCTTTCTCAATTTCAGCTTCTTCAGTTTTCTCTTCTATTAATTGTTGTACAGAATTAAATCTTTCCCAATAATCTTCAATTGTTGTTATCCTGGTTTTGATTACTTCTTTTGACATGTTTTGTAGGTTTGCTAGCCATCTTTCAGCCTTAGACAACTGGCCCTTCACTACTACTCTAATCTTCTTTAAATCAGTCAAACTTTCAGTGTAACTTAGGTCACTCATATTAAAAAAAATAAATTGTAATAAATAGAATGTAAAAAAAAATTAAAAACTGGTTTTCCTCGTCGCCAAACTGTTACATATTAAATAAAAGATGTGTAAAATAAAATAGGTGTATTCTGAATTGAATCCAATTATCAATCAATTATCAATTATCAATTATTTAAGATGGGGACGCCACTATGTGCGTATTTTAACCCAAATATGAGTGAAGGATGAGTGTAGGATGAGTGGCGCGATCTTGTAGTCTTGTTAGTGACTAAGGCCGACATGTTCCTTAGACACAGCTGTTAATTAATAGCCCATACAGCTAATGGCAACTAAGGGACCTACAGTTTATAGTGGAATCCGAACCACATTTTTCCTTGTAATTTACGAATTGGTCTAATTATCAGGATAGTACTGCGGATAGTCGTAGTACTCACTAGTGCGGACGTTAATCCACACCAGTGAGCATCGCATCCACAGTGCATCCCTATAAATATCTGATTTGCACTTGTCACGGTTCAACTTCAAATTTTGACTCCCAAAATGTTTGAATTAGCCTACATCAAACAATAAAAAAAATCCTAAATAACAATGATTGTAAACAAAAACAATGTTAACTTATTAAACATATCATATGGTATTTTGTTAAACATACAGTATGTTAGAAAAGACACATCAGCAATAATCCCAATAATTTTCCTACTTTCTGAAAGGGTAGTTTTTAAGGATAAAAAGCAACTTGGCTTTAGAATTATTGTTAAGGAAAGGAAGGATACACAACTAACTCACCTGAATAAAGTGTCCCAGGAGGTTAATAGAACACATACAAATTACACATTAAACTGATATTTCGGGCCTTTCAGGGTCTTCTTTAGGCCGCGGCTCCACTTGCCGTAGATTGCTGCGCTGCAAATTGTAGCTTGTCAGTTGAGGAAATGGGAATGCAGCGATCAAACGAAGGTGGCTCCACTAGCGACAGTCTGCAGCGCGCTACATTTTACAGCGCGCCGTAGAATGTAGCGTCGCGCGGGAATGGAACTCGGACCATTTTCGCGCTACATTTTGCAGCCAAAAGGTGGCTCCACTAGCTGTAGATTGTAGTGCCGCGCCAAGTTAGTGTACGTACAGCCGACAGGCATACATGGACAAGACACACACGCTACAATCAGTTTCGACTTTTTAGTGTCTTTAGTTTTTTTTTTTTTGTTTTTTTTTGTGGATTGATTTGTACCAATGGAGCCTGAACTGGACTGTGAAATTTGTATATTAGAAATTATTAAATTATTACATCGGGAGTGTGGGAATCTTGTTTTATAGAGGTTGTGTAGGGGTTTCCTACTTTATATTATAAAGTAAAACAGTAGTGATTGGAGAAACAAATATGTGAAAACATTCAATTTGTTTTTAAGTGCAGCAGTCGTACAAATTGTTATAATTATCCCTATAATAAAAAGCTCCTAATGGCTGTTTTAGATTATTTTTAATAGGTGCAACAAAAACTCACGAAACTCATATTGATATTCACCTTACATTGGTTACTTAGAAATATTACTTCTGAGGTTGAATAAAATTAATTACACTAAAATTACCTTAATGTCACTGGGAAAACCTTTCCTATACTCCAATTGCTTCTCTTAGTTTGGTATCCTTCTTAAAACGTGTTGATACTGATTCTATTAAGCAATCAAACGAGTTTTGGGACATTCGATAATATTCAAAAAACTTGTCTGAATACTTTCAGTATGCAATGTGTGGAACATCCCTTCGGACTTTACGTTGCTTAATATTGGATGGATCCACCATTTTCCTGCTGTGATCGGCGTCGTCTTGATAAAGTACACTGATAACGATAACAACACTACGAATGTTAATTTGCGGCATGATCCAGGGCCACGTTTACCTCCGCGCTACACTTAACTGCTAGTGGAGCCACGGTGCATCTGAGGACGCTGCAGATTGTAGTTCGTACTCTGCTGCTAGTGGAGCCACCAACTGTAGCGTGTATCGCGCTACAATTTGCAGCGCGACAATTTACGGCAAGTGGAGCCGCAGCCTTAGAGGTAGAAGGTAGAATGGCAGTTACAGTTCTAGCACTGTTAAAACTTTCTGAATGTAATGTAATATTAGTATGTCACCAAAATGTTTGAATTAGCCTACATCAAACAATTAAAAAAATTAAATTATCAAAATCTCTTAGATAGTTAATCTTTCTATTGGTAATACCACAATAAGGATAAGATGCCAATGCCTTTATGTTATTTATTGAATTTTAAACATTAATTGAATTCAATTTGATTATACTGTACATTCTGATTTTTTTGTAGAATTTATGATTTACGACCTTATCTGTGCAATTATCGTTTGAGTTCATTAGTGTGTGTCAGGTATGCAGTTTTTGTGTGTGTCAGGTATGCACTGGAGGCAAGCGAAAGAAGGACGAGATCAGTGTGGATTGCCTGGACTTCAACAAGAAGATCCTACACACAGCCTGGCATCCCTCTGAGAACATAATAGCAGTGGCAGCCACCAACAATCTGTTCCTACTGCAGGACAAGTTGTAGCCCCAGGCTCTCACCTGCCTCCCCCTGCCTCTGGGGTAAACCAAGTAATCATACATACTACTACCTCCCCTCCCCCAATACGCTACTTAGTCCAGGATAAACCTTAAACACACGACATAAACATAAGAATAAATACATTCAACAGGATAGTTTCTACACGGAAATTCAACATTGCCAATCCGTGAGCATATCTGGTTGAATTGTCTTTGTTATCAATGGTGAGCTGATCCATATATGTAGTGGGTTGTTGAAAAATAACTTGAACTAGTTTCTCGTTGATGAACATAAGTGATCAGATGAATTTTTTTTTCGACTTTTATATCTCAAATTCCTTAAAAATATCCACTTTACACCTCTTGTAACACACACTTTCAAACATTTTATATTTACATATGTTGTATAAAATATTTAGACATTCGCCAACACTATTAGAAACAAAATTCAACCATACCACTTGATAAACGTTTATGGCTTTTAAGTCAGATAAGTAGTGGAATTTTTATTTGTTTACACCAAAACATATCTTTATTTGTAAAACCAACAATGTACAATAGGTAGGCTAACATTCTTAGCAATGTGATGAAGTAAAATTATGAAATAGCAGCTCACTGACATTTCCAGCAATACAGGTTCTTCTAATATATGTTTAAAAATAAATATTTTTCACCTAAAAGTCATTTCCATATGTATGAATAGGCCTAATACCACATCAACAGAAATGTGCATTACACAAACTAGCTGTTACCCACAGGCTCCACCCCGTTTTACTACATTAGTATTAATAAAACTATTGATTGGTTAAGTTAAGATGAAATAAGCAAAACAGAATACAGTAATGGTAATACAAACAAATAATAACAGCTGAGGTATTTTTAACATTAGGTAAATAGAAAATTCTCTTTGGAAAGCAATTACGACCTTATAGGGCAATTTATGAAATAATGGATGATTTTGCGCAAGGTTTCTCGTCATGACGAACATTTTAATGGTTTATAGGGGTGTGACTTGTAGCTTTCTCAAAAGTTCATGGGTACTTTTGGCTTTATATATAGATGGGGTCAATTTTAATTATTGTTACTTCACTCAATTGACAAGTATGAATAGAAAAATGCCGTGTTGCTTTGAATCAAAAATTTGTTGCTGGTTCACACACCCCTACTATTTATTATAATCATAAATAACATGATTATAATATTAAAACTGGACGGTCATTTTTGATCGAATATTGAAAGTAATGTGCTCGATTTTTTTATGTAACAGGAACCGTGTTCTGACTGAAAGCATAAACTTTCAAAATAAAATATGTGGATGCTGTAAAATGAAAGACAATAATGTGACCACCCTGGGTAGCCGATAGTCATGGCCACATCTTATCAGATGTATAGTATATATTTTTGTGACTTTATTATGACTGATTTCTAATAGTGATGGTCGGATCCGGATATCGGACTACCGGATCCGCCGGATCCAAGCTAGAACCGGCACCGGATCGGATCCAAAAAATTCCGGATCTTGGGCTGGATCCGGTTTTGATGGATCCGATTTTTTCAAATTTTTCCCGATTTTTTTCCTAACACAAAGCTGTCTGTATCACTGTACAACCCCGATTTTTTTTACCAATACAAAGCAGTCTGTATCACTGCACAACCCCGATTATTTTACTAACACAAAGCTGTCTGTATCACTGTACAACCCCGATTTGTTTACTAACATAAAGCTATCTGTATCACTGTACAACCCCGATTTTTTTACTAACATAAAGCTGTCTGTATCACTGTACAAACCCGATTTGTTTACTAAAATAAAGCTGTCTGTATCACTGTACAACCCCGATTTGTTTACTAAAATAAAGCTGTCTGTATCACTGTACAACTCCCAATTTTTTTACTAAAATAAAGCTATCTGTATCCATGTAAGAGACCGATTTTCCCCCGATTTGTTTACTAACACAAAGCAGTTTGTATCTCTGTACAACCCCGATTTGTTTACCAACACAAAGCTGTCTGTATCACTGTACAACCCCGATTTTTTTTTACCAACACAAAGCAGTCTGTATCACTGTACAACCCCGAATTGTTTACTAACATATAGCTGTCTGTATCACTGTACAACCCCGATTTTTTTACTAACACAAAGCTGTCTGTATCCATGTACAAGACCGTTTTTCCCCCGAGTGTTTGTCTCTTGATGCAAACAACTTATATGGCTAGGCCATGACTCAGTGTTTGTCTCAGATGCAAATAACTTATATGGCTAGGCCATGTCTCGATGTTTGTCTCAAATGCAAATAACTTATATGGCAAGGCCATGTCTCGATGTTTGTCTCTAGATGCAAATAACTTATATGGCAAGGCCATGTCTCGATGTTTGTCTCTAGATGCAAATACTTATATGGCAAGGCCATGTCTCGATGTTTGTCTCAGATGCAAATAACTTATATGGCTAGGCCATGTCTCGATTTTTGTCTCTAGATGCAAATAACTTGTATGGCTAGGCCATGACTCAGTGTTTGTCTCTAGATGCAAATAACTTATATGGCAAGGCCATGTCTCGATGTTTGTCTCTAGATGCAAATACTTATATGGCAAGTCCATGTCTCGATGTTTGTCTCTAGATGCAAATAACTTATATGGCTAGGCCATGTCTCGATGTTTGTCTCTAGATGCAAATAACTTATATGGCTAGGCCATGTCTCGATGTTTTAGATGCAAATAACTTAAATGACAAGGCCATGACTCAGTGTTTGTCTCTTGATTTAAATAACTTATATGGCAAGGCCATGTCTCAGTGTATAAGATATATTAACCTTCAAACATTACCGATTTAATTTTAAACAGTATGATTTAAATTGGCATTCTGTTAATTAGGTTTTTTTTACCCGCCTTTATGACAGTGTGTATCTGGATCCGGATCTGGCCGGATCCGGTACCGACATTTTCTTGGATCCGCCCATCACTAATTTCTAATTCTGTGAGAGTAGTATTAATTATTTTGTTTTAGGGCAGTGTCAAAGTGGGAGGAGCTCGATGCGCGGATCGCGCGAAGCCTTAAGAAATACACACTCTGGTGACATTTGGGCTTCCAGTGCCATGGGTGTCGCACTCGTCTGTGTGGTACAAGGGATTAGCTTGTTTTGTGCCTTAGTTTGACAAATAAATAAAGCTAATCTGTTTTTCCTTCTGGTAGATAACTAAACAAGCATAAGCTTTAACTGTGGCATATTTCAATGTTGCGGTGTTGAATATATTATTATGACAACTACTATAAACAGTGCAGCTAATTTAATATTTGACTCCCAGTTAAATTTATACTGTTGTGTACACATATTTATTTTTGAGGTTATGTGACCTATATATATGAAATAGTATTTTTATAAATTATCTTGTTTTTAAGTAGCATACACATTTTTTACGCACAATTGAATCGTAGTGTTACCTCAGTACCACACAGATGGAATGTTGACCGCTCGGACAGAACAAATCTCGAGAATCAAAATAACTCACATGTGCGTTGTGTGAAGGTATTGACCAAACAGTGACTTCGAGTGGATCGAAACATTGTTGTTGTTGATTATTGTATATTTGCGACCTTAAAAGTTATTCATTTCATTTCTTAGGTTTATGTGCATCACAGATGTATTTATAGATAATTTTATAATATATATTTTCTTAGGAAACGAATTAAAACCTGTGAATGCTTTGTATGTTAATTTAATAAGTTTTATGGTACTCTCACTAAAATTTCATGATCACAATGTACGAATAAACCTATCCATTGCCTGTCTTCTTTTAACTATAGTAGATTTTGTAATCTTATTACTGGAAAGAAAATTTACTTGTAAAGAAAAGTTTGCTATTTGTAAGATTTCAGCAATAAAATGCAATAAATTATATAAAATTTACTTAAACCTAGACTGGTATTTTGTTTTAGCTTTATTGTTTTTAAGTATTTTCGTACTCTGCTTTATTTTATGTTTAAAATATAGCCATGTATACAACTAATTGAGACATATTATGAATATATTTAATGATGTGTGATTTTTAATGTACTTTGTTTAATATTTGTATGTTAGAGCAGAAAAGATTTTATATGACAAAAAGTGCTCAATTTAATTGAATTTCATTTATTGGTATTAGATTGTTTTGTGAATTGTGTACATATGTAATATTTTAGTGTTAGGAAGACATTTTAGTATTAAAATTAATTCTTTTTTTTTACTTAATTGTATTAAAAGACCCCAGTCTTTTATTTATTCCCCTACAAGCTTTCAAGATACAGGTAATATTACTTCATGTCAAATTGCATACAATACTTGATTGTTTACATGTTACATTTATAGTACCGTTTTCTTTTTGTATAGTTTTTGGTTATTTCTCTTGTTTTGTATTCATACAAGTAATATCTTACTAAGGGTTTTATCTGTAGTTGAAAACCTTCCTTGACATGACTGCAGTAAATTGCAAATGAACTGTCTAGTGAAACTATTTTCTCCTGATGCTGTTTTAGCAGACAACAAGAAAAATTACATTTAAACTAAGGAGTTAACAACTCTCAATTTAAGTAAGAATTTGAAATTCGGTCTATAAATTTTAATCAGTACTGCTGGTGTCTTAATTACATGTTATTGTTATAAAGGAAAATTTATTTTGTAAAATTGTAAATATTTAGTTGTAGGCAATGTTTCATTAACTACCAACTCGAAGGCTGGATACGTGATTTTGTATATTTGTAATTGATCTAGTTTATTTTACATTGTGGTCATGAAGTGTCTCTGTTAGTAGTTTATCGTAATATTTGTGGTTTTGTATCAAACAAAATTATGAACAAATGTATTATGGTTCAAAATAATGCTTGTTATGGTATAACCTCATTTACCACAGTTAAAAACACTTTTTAAGATCTCTATTTTTAATATGTTGTAAATTTTAGTTACTGTTTTGGTTTTTTTATATCTCCGGTGCTACTGAAGCAAATTTATCTGCTTTAGCTTCATCTCAATGATAAGTATTTAAGTACTCATATTTAAAAGTATATTAAACTGTCTGGCTGCACTTGGGTACAGAACATTACAAAATCTAGTAATTTCAATTTAAATTCCACAAGAAAAGTTATACTAATTTATTTTTCTCAATAAAACAAAATATAAATCACATTTTATGTGTTTACTTTACAAACTGTTGCCTAAAAATTTCTATCCAATGCAGAGTAGTGCTTCATTCTATAATATTATGGACGCGTTGCAGAAAGTCAACAGTGCCGGAAGGTCAAATAATTTATACTAGGTATACATATACATATAAATACTTTATAGGTCAAAAACTACAATGTTTGCAGTGTCTGTAGATCAAAAATCCCAGTAAGTCAAATAATACAGTCCGTGCTAAAAACGTAGTCTATGTTAAAGCTATTGACACATTGGGAATTTGACCTAATGCAACAGCAGTTTTAATATGATGAAATACGATAAAATATAAGTTCAGTTTCGCTGAGTCAACAGTGCCGGAAGGTCAAAAGTATATTCTGTTAAAAACAACAATAGTCCTCTCGACGCATGACTTCAATGATTTCGTGTTTTGGTGTACAATACTTAAAGTTGTGCTAAAATTTTGAAAATTGGCACAGAGCTTCTTGGTTAGTCCTACTTGATGACCGTTTTGTTGGAACTTCAAACTATTTACCGATCTAATTAATAAAAATTTATATGTATGGTGAAATAGTTTTAAATCGTGATTTGTAATATGAAAAAGTTGGCATGCAAGAATTTTTTTTTTTTTTTTGTTAGAGAAGATTTGTCTGTGGCAAAGTTGTAGCCAAAAGTTTGATGCGTAAAATATAATTCTTTGAATTTTTTACAATCAGTGGTTCAATAGATAACTTGGGTTGAAGAGGAATGGAAATTTAGCATTTCGCAACGCATGGAAAGGATCGTACAATGCGCCTGCTGAGTCGACGTTTACTTAACAGTTCTAATGACAAGAAAAAGATTAATATTATACAAATCATCAGTACATTCATATTATTAAAAAAAAAACATCTTTCTGTATTACCAGCTTACATTTTTCACTTAAATTCATAAGAATACAACATATATAGGGTGTTTAAAAAAGGAGGGGGCTTATTTTACCTAGTGATTCCTTGGGTCAAAATAAACAGAAAATCAAAGATAACATTTTTTCCAAAATCGCTTCGTTAACCAGATATCCGCCATTTTGTATTTTTACATACAAATAATTATCTTTAGACTTTTCCAACCAATGGTTATGAAACTTGGTATGTATGTTAAGGTAGGAGAGACGCATATTTAAAAAAAGATTAATCTCGATTCACCTTAAAATTTCAAAATGGCTGCCATTTCAATTTCTCAAACCTAAACTACTCTAAAACTGCAGATTTTGTGAAAAAATGCCAAGAACACTTTAATTTAGCATTGTTAATTCCCTATCAAACGATACCAAGTTAAAAAAGACCAAATAATAAATAGCTGAAATATACGATTTTAGCTGTAAAAGGGGGCAAAACTGACTAGATCACCCATTTTTTTACCCCATTTTAGAACTAAAATTCTTAATATTTCAGCAATTTCTTTTTCGATCTTTTTGAACTTGGAACCGTTTGATAGGGAATTAAAAACCCTATTTAAAAGTGTTATTGACCTTTTTTCATAAAATCAGCCGTATTTGAGTCTAGTAATAAGATTAGCTGAAATATTAAGATTTTTAGTTGTAAAATGGGGTAAACAGGACTATTTTAGCCTTATTTTACCCCATTTTACACATGAAAATCGTAATATTTCAGCTATTTATAATTTGATCTTTTTTAACTTGGTATCGTTTGGTAGGGAATTAAAAATACCAAGTAAAAGTGTTCTCGACATCTTTTCATAAAATTTGCCGTTTTTGAGTAATTTAAGGTTAAAAAATTTTAATGGACGCCATTTAGAAATTTTTATTTAAATCAAGATGATTTTTTTTTCTAACACTAGTCTAGTTTACCTTAACGTACATACAAAGTTTCATAAAGATCGGTTAAAAAACGCAAAAGAGAAAAATGTTTTTCAAAAAATACAAAATGGCGGATATCTATTTAACGAAGTGATTTTAGAAAAAATGTTATTCTTTATTTTCACCTTTTTTGACCCATAGAACCATTTCCCGCAATTGCTGTTTACTTACGGGACACTGTATATGCATGAAAATGTATTAAATTTGGAAATTACATGAAAACTATAACTATAAACCTACGAGAAAGCTATAAAATTTCAGAAACATTGTTCAAGTGTTTCTTTTATCAGATCAGGCTAGCAATTTGTACAACAGTATCATCAATAATTCACAAGGCTGAACCTTCCACTTACTGTAGCTGACAATTATTTAGGTAAACTAGTATCTCCTCACATACAATTTATTTGTCGATTTAGCAGAGTAGAAACAGCGATGCATCATTTTAATGAAAACACAAATCAAATAGAATATTCCTAAAATAAAGAAAATAGTTTACAGGTAATCATGACATGTAAATTAATTGTTCCTAAGGCTGTGGTTTCCTAGACGCGTAATAGATGCGCAGCGGTTTAGATGCGCAGCGTCTTTTATGCAGGTCCCAAAACGCAGCTACCGTGAGTGGTTTCCTAGACTGCGTACAATACACACGGTTGATGCGTAATATAAGTTCACGGGAGAGATTACTAGTGGCTACTATGATGTTATACGATGATTTAGATAATGAAATGGATATTTTGGCATTAAAAGCTTTGAAGAAGCGTAAGCAGTGAAAAGTACATGTTAGGAACTGTACGTGGCCCTCACGCATCTTTTAACTGTAGTGTTAAAGCAAACATGTCAATTTAAAATGAAAACAGTAAATCTTAATTTACCCTGTCAAACTTTGCTTTTACTGTTATTATATTTACCTCTTCGGGATTTACTGAATCGATGAAAATAGGCCTACCTTTTACAAGTATAACTGCAATAATCATTTTATACTTATACGCCATCCCCGTAAGAAGTTTGGGTACTATGCTATAATTACTATAGAGTTATTACTAAGGTGTTCAGGAGTTCTTAAAATAATTATGGGGTCACTTATATTTGGGAGTTGGTTGTGCTGACTTGAAAAGAATATTTTTTAATATTAGGTTTACAGTAACAACAATAAGAAAATATGTGAGGACAAATTAATTGTAGGGAACATGTAACAAGGGGATTAAATATTAAAATCACACATTATGGGGAAATTAACACTACATAACGAATGATATGAAATATAAGACTATAAAATTTTAATTGTATGAACAAAGTATTTCCATAATATGTCATTAGAAGAGACAAATTCAATCAATTTTTCGTCGTTGTTGGAGAATTTTGCCTTTTGTACAACATTTATTTGCGTATCCATTGCACAAGACATGTCTAAAACGCAGCGTAACTCAGATTCGACTGCTCCGAGAGCAGTCGGTCAAATACGCAGCTATTGGTGCGCGCGTATTAGATGCGCGCGCATTAGATACGCAGCCTTGGAAACCGCTTACACGAAACTCCATAAGACAAGTGTGCTGCGTCTTAGATGCGCATGCGCAGCGCATCTATTACGCGTCTAGGAAACCACAGCCTTAGTTGTTAACATAACAATAATTGATTTTTTATCGGGGCTTTAGCGGCTTCTGCCCCTACAAGCCACTAGTCATATTATTTTAAAACGTGGTTATTTGCGTCAAAATTGTGGGAGTCTGGAAAGCGATAGACAGATAGGAGTGGGCGTAAATAAAAGGCATACAATAGTGGAACACCGAGAGTGTCAACAAAATTGTTTGACATAAAATAGTCAAAGGTATAACGTAAAATTTTATGCGTAATAATAGCGTTGGAAGTCATAATTAGCTGATTTTTAGCTAATTTCTCAATAGGGAAGTAGCTATTACTGTAGTTGGCATGGTAAGACCTAGGCCCGGGACCGATTTACTTTTTAATTTTATGTCCACAGAGGCCAACAACACCATTAGTTCAAATGTATGATATTTTGGTTTCATATGTATACATGTACATATTTATTCCCTATTTATATAACATTAGATTAAACGAGTGCTTAGGTTTGCTGCTACGGGGAAAGTAAAAAGTGTTTTTTGACCATACATCAATAGAAATAAATAAATTTGCCAAATTTTATCAATATATATCCATAAACAAGTAAACTACAACAAGTTTAATTTTCTCCGAGACCGTTAGGCATACAACAGCGCTTCAATATACTTAATTATTTATTTTTTTAAGGTCTACAAAACGGTTTAAAAATAAAATGCAAAATTTGTTGTTTTTAAGGTAAAAAATTGGAAAACCCCATTTTTACCACATAAAACCTCCGTTCCCATGGTCCGATCATGCTGGTTCGCGAACTCGTTCGAATAATTGTAGGTTTACATGTTTTTACCAAATTTAATCTAAATCGGATTATTTTCACTTGAGTTATCGGTCACATATATATCTATAAATATATATATATATATATATATATGAATTTGGACGGATGGTGTTTTTGGCCTCTAGGGTCTTCAAAACGAAAAATTTAATCGGTCCCGGGTCCAGGTCTTACCATGAGTACTACAGTAATAGCAATAGCTTATTCCCTATATGGGAAATTTGCTAAAAATACACAAATTTGAAAAGTTTCACAGTATAGTTATTTGTGTAACTGTAACTAGTGGGCAAAGTGGCACTTTGCTGCACACAAGAGCAATGTTTACTCGCCTGGAATGATCTCAAGTGCAGCAAAGGCCTTTTGCACTCGTGTTACACATTATATACCAAACATACAGTGGAACTTCGATAACAAGACCCTCGATAACAAGTCGCCCTTAATAACAAGTGTAATTTTTAAATCTCCTAGAATTTATTTTACCCCTAATCATGTTATTGCAAACCTCAATAAGAAGTCAACCTTGATAACAAGTCTTTTTTAATAATTTCTCATGAGTCTTGTTACAAGGTTCTACTAAATTTCTTTTTGGTTGATTGGATTTTCACTTATTCCCTTAAAAATGCCAGATTTCGTCCCCAACGGGTACTTAGGTTTGCTGGTACAGGGGGGTAGGTAAATGGTAATAAATTGTGTTTTTAGTAAAATGTTAATAAATAGTTATTTGTGTAACTAGTGGGCAAA